ATATATAAATATATAAAACAAAATTATAATATATATATATATAACATAGCAATTTTAAAACGCTATTATATATTAGCAGATAATGTTTTTATGGCGTTTTTTTAGAAACGCTATAATTAACCGCTATAAAAAGCCTATTTTGTTATAGTATGAATAATGCTATTGAGTTTCCAATGATTTTGAAAATAAGATTTTAAAGAGTATCATTTCTTAAAATGTAAAATTTTAAGAAATGATATAACCCATGGTGACCACAGAGATCGGGATATGAGAATCGTATCCTTGGGAGCAGGTCCCGAAACCTATACGGATCCACTTCTTGCTCAGTGGTATTATGGCTCTGCATATTTTCATTATACATATATTTTTCTACTACTACGTGAGTATTTTTTTTTTAGAAAGAATGATCGGTTTCAGGTGTATGTCTTCGGAGCGTGAGTACCTTTATTTATTATGTTTTATAAAATTATATTCTACTGGGTCTTCCGCTCACTTTTACTATTATGTTTTTAATGTTTTAAACCTCCTTCAGAGTTAGCAGTTTAGATTTACAACGTGACAAGTAGATGCCAATGGATTGAATGTGCGAGATTTGAAGCGGTACGTTTGTTTCGGATTTACAGTTTTAATTCTGAGATGTACTGCATTTTTGTATATAAACTGTATTGGTCGATATTGTCTCAGAGTTGTACTATTTTCCTTAGACTTTATGGACTGTTTTAAATATTATTTGTGAAAGAGAGTCTCCGGAGCAAACTATATTGGTATTTATGTATTTATTTTTGTGACTTTGTTAAACAGTCTAGTTTAATTAAGTTAAATTTTAAATTAAACCCCAATAATCACGGCCCTATTCTTAGGGTCGTGACACTTTTACTATAAGCAGAAGCTGATTTTGGAAGTGAAAAGTAATAGCAAATGCAGCCAATGTCTTTTTTATCGGTGTATAGTGGGCCAAGTAAGAGGGAAAACGAGACAAATACCCTTTTAGAGTACATGAGTTTATATTTTTATTCCTTACTATTAGTTTATATCTTTTTAGTCAAATAATTATTTAGTTAAAAGGATATTAATTAAAAATAAAGAGTAAAAATTAAGACTCACACATGAGTAAATTAAATAATTCTCTCTAAGTTAGTAAAAACATACGTGAAATGAAATGTGTAATTCTATAAAAAAAAATAATAATAAAAAAATAACTAGCTCAACAGTATCTAACTTGCATGACTTAATGGCACTATCAAGTACATTTTACCTCCAAGAACTATTTTATTTAAAAGTTTAATCTTGGCTTTACATTATGCATCGGATTTAGCATTTTGTTTAAGGGATTTTCTATGCCAGGCACTCTCTTTTTTAAGGTATTACTGTTTTTAGCAGTTATTAATGTTCAATTTTCATAATGATTATATAACGTGTTGTGCGTTGTAACTGTATTTAACGTGAACACTTATAAATGAGACGGTCCAAAAATTATTTCAACACTTCAAATGCTCTTACTGGTAGTGAAAAATAAAAAAAGAAAAACAATTCATAAGATAGAAACTCTCAAACCAAAAGATTTAGAATTGTAAGATCTTAAATAAGGGAGATTCTCTGGTATACTAGGCGTATTGATATGTCAGGTTTTTTAATTGTGGATTTATGTAATTTTTAATTTTTATGTAAATTTAACGAACAAAAGACTTGGCTTACTTATGTATGACGCACCGGAGAAGATCCCCTTAAATAAATATGCAATTATATATATATATATATGTGTGTGTGTGTGTGTTTGCGTGTATATATTCTCAATATGAAAGGTCTCAACTTCTCAGAATATCCGCCACTTGCATGGATACTCTAGTCTTTATGGGTTTTGAGTTGCTTTATTGTAAGCAATCTTTTTTTTTTTTTTAAATTATTTTAAGGGAGAAGGGAGAAATAGACCAAATTAAAAAGGTAATAAAATTAATAGGCTAAAGTTGAGATCATAGAGTTTGTAGATAGGCCATTTAAATGTAAATTGAAGGGTGGATATGAAAAGTAAAATATTTAAAATTGAAAATGGCTTATTAGTTTCTATTGATCGGTAAATTAGATATTTACTTCCAAATGTTTTAAACGCTGGCCTATTTACTATAAGTTCTCTTATTTTTTTAATTCAAGTTAGAGTTTATGTTTCAGTTTTTAAGAGGTGCCAACTTGAATAGCTAGATGCCGTCTCTCAGTTCCTTCTCTTATTTTTTTTCATTTTTAAGAAAATGAAAGTCTTACTTCTTTATATATCAATAGGAATAATCAGTACTGGACCTCACTTGGAGGACTCCATTCACATTTCACGTGGAAGTTAATTATATACTAATGACTATAAATAGGGTTTGTCATTGCAAACTCTTCCCCACCATTCGGCTCTTTCGCTGCTGCACAAACACAATCTTCTCTTCAGAAATACAAGGCCAACAAACGCTCAGCAGCTTCTTCTGAATCCCCAACACCGCGGTACACCGGCGCCTTTGAAATTTCCGATGAAGAGATCAAAGATTGCATTTATGCCTATCATCAATCATGGTCCTATTGAACAATCCTTTGAGACCCGTACTCTCTTCGACGTCGTCGAAAACGTCCCTAAGCGCGCCACCCAAATTGTGGACCAAGTTGTGGAGGTAATTTCAACGCTTTTGTGTGTCAATTTTTATGTTTTTTAGCATCGGTAATCAAAAGTTACAACATATTTTTCTCTGGAGCATTTCGGTAGGGACTGTCTTCTTAAATTTTTAAATAGAAATTGTTGTTTTAACTTTGATTAAGATTTTAACGACTTAATTTATGAGTGATCGTATTAAAATTTACAACGTGCAACACAAAATTGTTACAATTGCTACATGTCAGGCTATTGAAAACTTAATTCATAATTAAAACGACAGTACCCATTAAATAAACAAACCCACTCATCATAGAAGAACATAACAGAACAACCATGTAACCTTTATTTTAACTTACCTAGTCCTCAAAACATTGAGCTGTATAAAGTAAGAACCAGTTCTTATGAGTCCATGATTTCAGTTTTACAAATTTAGGTTATTAAAAGAGACTATGGACAACCTTGGTCAACAATGCTATTAAAAACAATGAGTTTGGTAGATGTTTTTATTCCTCTCAGCAAAGTTGTACTTTCCTTTCTCCAACTATATAAAACACAAGTGACATGAAACCAGCTTAAATCATAATAAGAAACAGCACTAGCATGTTTAATGCGACGTTTTGAACACCACAACATCGTATCGGAGCAGAGATTATAAACATAACATCAGTTTTGAACACCACAACATCGTATCAGAATAGGGATTATAAACACCAGATCAGTTTCAGTAGAGGATTCGTATGTTTAAGGAATTAGAGAATCATTTATTGAAGAAAAGTAAGAATATAAAACAAATGCGACATAATCTCAACGAGGATATGAATGATCAACCAGCTTAGGAACCACCCTGGAAGGAGTTTGGAATGTATATAAAGAAATCCAAAGCATTATCCTTCATTTCTATTTTCTACAAGATAAAAGCCAAGAATGAGCTTTTATCACTACACTAAAAACTGGAATGAAGAAAGATGGAACGTCATATTAATATGGATAACCACACATTATAACTAGATGTTTTCTTGGGCATTTAGGAATCCTATGAGATTAGACTCATAGATTACAGCACCGTAAGTTCTAAATCTCAGAGTTCGTATAATACGCGGCTGAATACGGTGAGAAAATTCATTAGACAGCACCAATATACCTGCTCATAAGCACCACCACTTGATTCCAAATACAGGCCGGTTTGGTTTTAGGTCTGAACTCATGATTTTGATTATGCTCTCTTACAAAAAGAAATGGATTAGTTACAAAAATTCTCATCGACTTATACCTCTTATAACACTTTGCTCCATGATCTTTAAAACGTAACATCTGTTCTCCTAAATAATAGAATATTAACAAAAAAGTCATATCTGTTAAGTTTTTAACTGAAATTGACATTTAATTTACTATTTTAAAGGTATTTTAAAAATTTTATGGTTTAAAACTTAATTTCTTTTTAAACTAACTTAAATATTCAAAAAGAACTCTATAAATATTTTTATTCTACCAAAAAAAATCATAAAATTTTTAACTTATATTCAATCAATAATAAATGTATTGTAATTAAAAGTTTAAATTTAAATTAATTTTAAATTCAAACTAAATTTTAAACCATAGAGCTACTAAAATACTTAAAATAACAAATTAAATATCAATTTCTATTAAAAAAACTTAACAGATGAGTTTTTTTTATTAACATTTTATTGTTTAGAAAAATATGTGTTACGTTTTAAAAATTGAGAGGTAAAATATTACAAAGAATATACATCAGGAGAACTTTTATATTTAATCCAAAAAAATTGAATAAAAAAAGTTTTTACAAATGGGTTTTCCATAAAATTTAAATTCAGAATCAAACTCACTAATTTAAATTCGTAAACCAATCGGATTACTTAATCGTCCTACCGTGGGTGCCTCCACCGACGAATTCTCTTACGGGCTACGGCCCCCGAAACATTTTGCTCAATTACAAGCTTCACCTTTCCCCAACTTTTGGCTTCATTTCTTCAATTATGATTTTTTTTTCCTTCGATATTACCCATCACAAATAATGCTGAAGTCTTCTCACTTCTATCTACTCTCTTACCATGTTATTGTTACCACATCCAAATAGGTATTATCTTTTTGACGTTGGTAATCGAACAATTAGAAAAGTAACCTCAGGCCAGTGGTAATTTGATACGACCCTCGGAATGGATTCCGGTGGCTGGATCGGATAATCGCCCTTTGAATGAGCGTAAATTCCAAGAAATGAGAAATAAAGGAAGGGCTAGTGAGAATAGAGAAGGAAATGGAAAACTAATTCATTTCATTCATCTCCCCCTTTAGCCAAGGATGGCTTATATATTTATAGGCACAAAAACTAACTAACTAACTATTTCTTTTATCACCGCTAATTAACAAATTCTAAAAATAAACTAATATTTAGGGGTGTATCATTCCCCAACCCTTCAAAATCACCGTGTCCTCAAGGTGGTTAAAAAAAAAGAAAATTTAATTCAAACACTAAAAAGAAATAATCTCTTCAGCATATTGATTTTTTTTTTTTTTCTTTATTTATTTTTTTAATCCTTTTAGCCTCCTCGTGCTTATACTCTACTATGACCTGAGAAAGCCCAAGCCAGCAGAGGCCCATCAAGAGCATGGAAGAGCCCAACTGGATGTCTGATTATGGAAGCAAGGACTCTGTCGTTTGGAACCCAAGGAGGTCGTTTGGAGGCTTATTCTTCTTCCCCAAATTGAGTCGTGAAAATCTTTCACCGTCGTTCCCCGTCCTCGCAACCCAAGCGATCTTGACGCCGATGCATTCCCGGGCTTCTCCGCCGTCGTCAGCTGTTGCAGCCCCTACAAGGCCCGGCTGTCATCGTCCCTGACAATCCTTCGCGACCAAGCTTCCTCGCATTCGTTGCCGTTCTTCGTCGTAGCTTGCCTTCGCTCGCATATTATGTTCTTCCGTCTCTTACCTCCGTTTCGTTGATCTTGTTTTCGGTACGTCTTTTTTTTTCCTCGGTCTTTCACAAAACTCATTCGCCTCTTCCTTCTATATCCACCGATTCGGAATTCGAGGGCGTGAAGGAACCCGGATGTGAGGAGAATTTCTGGCTTTGCTTTGGGAAAGAGCGAATCAGGTACGATATCAGAAGGATCTGGCGGCCACGGATCTGATCCTTGCTTCGGGTACCAAGCAGGTGTGGTGGTGGCATTCTCGGTCTCTCCAGGTCGCGTATGGGGTTGTGGTTTCAACAGTGGTGGACGATTAGTGGAGATCGGAGTTGTTGTGATTGAGTTGATTTTGATCGGCTCTGGTTTTGGCTGACGAATACTCGGAGCGAAGGCTGAACATGGGAAGGTGAGTGGTAATGCTGGCCCGTGTGATTCTGAGAGCCCAGATTGTGGTGGTGGCTAGTTTGTGGTTGAATCTGCCTTGGGTGGTAACTGTGTAGACATAATTGTCTTGTTGTTGTCGAAGGAGGACGTCGTTTCCAGGGATGCCGGCGCCGGTGAAAGTGTAGGCAGTCTAGGCTTTCACACCATTGAGCTGGCCGTGTATGGACCATCACCAAGGGCTTCCATAACTAAGAAATAGTCTGCAAAGTCGTCGCTGCCGATAAGCTCCATCAATATCATCATCATCTCTCAATGAAAGCACTAATGATACGATCCTCAGAATGGATTCCGGTGGCCAGATCGGATAATCGCTCTTCGAGTGAGCGTAAACTCTAAGAAATGAGAAATAGAGGAAGGGTTAGTGAGAATAGAGAAGGAAAGGGAAAACTAATTCATTTCATTCATCTCCCCCTTTAGCCAAAGATGGCTTACATATTTATAGGCACAAAAACTAACTAACTAACTATTTCTTTTATCACCGCTAATTAACAAATTCTAAAAATAAACTAATATTTAGGGGTGTATCATAATTCTCAAGCACTAAACTATGTGGTTGTTCAATAAAAAATAAAAACAAAAACAAAAAAAGAAAATCTGCCCATATAAGAAAAAGTTGCAATCTTTCTCTTCTCGGTGCTATATTTTTCCGGAAAAATTATTACTTTCCAGCATTATGCGTATGGCCTAAGGTCCAACATGGTTTAACAGATAAATTCACATTTCCTACATCATCAAAAAGGTCTAAATAGAAAGAAATTTTCCGAAATCTCAGAAACACAGAAAATCTCCTAAATTTATATCCTAAACGAAAAGGATTGTTATTAAACTAAAACACCCAACCAAAGTGTAACTCTCTGAAATGAGAAGAGAAAGAGGTTAAAAGAAAGAAACCTGGTTAAGAAGAGGTATGGAATGAGAGAGATTCAAAGAGAAAAAAAAAAAAAAATAAGAGAGAGAGAGAGGAACAACTAACCTGCGCACCTTGTTAGGGCTGTTTCGAGATTTAACTATCATAACCCAATATGGGTAAAAAAAAAAAAAAACTCTTTTACGCAATCTGAAATCAGAGAAATAATCCTAGAAATGTTTAATTTATTTATTGTTTTTTTTTTTTTTAAAAAAAAAAGGTTTTCAGATTATGGAACTATCAATCCTACCCTAACCCATATCTTTTTTTCTTATTTTTTTCTCCACTTTGTCTCTACATCCACATTAAGATACAATCAGCCTCGGAGTTGTCGAGACACAATGACGGCAACAAAATCTGTCGTTACGGTCCTTGCAACGATAGAAATAACAACGAGAGTTGTTGCCGCTTAGAGGTGGTAGTGGGTGGCAAGATCCATTCACATTGATATATTGGAATATCTCTATTTTTTTCTTTCTTTTGAAAGATAGATTTGATGAAGGCTTATGATTATCTTAGTTAGAGTTGTACCTTTTGTTTTTAATGATGAGACCTAAAATTCAATTTTTTTTTAGTTTCTTATTATTTTTTTAAAAGAATTTTGTTTTACATTTTTTTTTTTTGTTATTGAAACTTGAAGTTAAACGGTATTGATAAAAAAAAAAATTATAGTTATTTAAGAGGTTTTTAGTATTAAAAAATAATTTTTTAGAGAATATTAATTTGATTCTTCTGTTTTTTCGTTACTCCGTGTATCTCTTAATCATTATAGTAATTTATCAATAGTTATGATATATATATATATATATTGAAAGTGTGATAGTGTATTTTATATAATAACTTGTGATATTTATAACTATTATTTGTTATAGTAGTAGCGGTACAGTCACATAAAAAGAAAATAATCAAAACAATATGGGCGTGATAAAAAAATAATTCTTTATTTCGCCACTATTGTAACATTTGTTTACTACTACACAAAAAAAAATTAACCTTCTATTTTTATTTTTCTTTTACTATTGCTATTTATTTATATATTAATAGAAGAAAACAATGCTGAATAATGGATTTTGGGATAATCAGGGTTGGGATTTTCTAAACCTCAAAAAGGGTAACACCTATCCGAAAACATGGAATACAACATTCCACGCATCCAAACAGGCTTCCAGATATTACTCCCCCGCCATGGATGACAACAACAACAGAACCACAAAAACAAAGAGAAAAGAGGCATTTTCAATTTTTTTTTTTTTTTCATGTCCTTAACATATTTGTAGCCGTTAAACCGCTAAAACCCCAGGAAAAAAAAAAGTTCAAAATTTTCGTCATTTTATCATCTGGGTCTGCTCAATTCCACCATTCTTATCTCATCTTTGCAATTTTCATGAATAAAGATTTGTATATTCTGTGATGGCTCTTGTTCCCAGTCGCCAATTCTACCCAACAAGCTTCTTCGACTCACTCCACGGCACTCATATCAAGTTCTTCAGGTACGGTTCGTCCATTACCTTTAGAAAGCACCGTCTATATTCGACCAAGTATAGTTCTGTAAACTCTAGCTCAAGCTCTGAACAGAACCCAGGAGGGAAATATAACAAATTTTTTAGGACGACCCAGAACAATAATTGGCATAATAAATATGATGATAATTTATCTAGTACTAGTTGGATAGAGAAATGGAATGAAACCCATCAACAGATTAGGCCTAAACCGCCTGGGGCCGTGTTGGATTATCGAAATAGTGAGAGTGGGAATCAGCCTAGGTCAAGTTATGCTAATAGAAATGGTGGTGATAATAATAGTGGTGGTAGTACAATGGAGAGGATTGTGGAGAAATTGAAGAAATTTGGGTACATGGATGATGTTGGTAGTGAGGGGAAAGAGGATAAGGGGGAGAGAGTGATTGAAAAAGGGTCTGTGGAGGATATATTTTATGTTGAGGAAGGAATGTTGCCTAATCCGAGGGGCGGGTTTTCGCCGGATTCTCCGTTGGGAGTGGAGGGTGTGTTTGGAGGTAATGGTGGTGAGGTGAGGTTTCCGTGGGAGAAGCCGAAGGAGAAAGTAGAGAAAGAAGGCGGTTCGATGAGGAGGAGAAGTAAGACTTCGTTGGCGGAACTGACTCTTCCGGAGTCGGAGTTGAGGAGGTTGAGGAATTTGACGTTTCAGAAGAAGCACAAGACTAGGATTGGGGGTGCAGGTGTTACACAAGAGGTTGTGGACATGATTCATGAGCGATGGAAGACATTGGAGATTGTGCGGCTGAAAATTGAAGGTGCGCCTGCGCTTAATATGAAGAGAATGCACGAGATATTAGAGGTTTGCTTCTCATGAATCTTTTCTTTAGGAAATTGCTTCTCATGAATTTGTGTAAATGCTTTTATCCTTTTCTTTTAATAATGATCAATTTCCTATCCACGAAAATTCATTTATTTTCTCGGCAACAATATTAGTTGCAGGAGTAGTAATAAAAGACACGAATAATATATTTAAGTAGTTTTCAGAAGTTCTGGATCTTGCTCATTTTCTCCCCTCTAATTTTTTTGTTCTGCCTTTGCTACAATTTTCAGCGAAAAACTGGTGGGTTGGTGGTATGGAGGTCTGGCACATCCCTTTCTTTATACAGAGGTGTGAGCTATCAGGTTCCTTCATTGGAACTGAAAAAACGGTTATACAAAAAACCTGAAATATCTTCTATACAAACTGTTGGTGATAAATCTACTAGAGATCTAGCCAAATTTGCTCCGGATACAAATACGGATACAGCCATAGAGAAGTCAGAATCTCCTTCCCAGGAGAAGAAAGATGTGGAACGGTCACCTGAAGTGAAGTACGAAGATGAAATAGACAAAATTTTGGATGGCCTGGGTCCTAGGTATGAAGATTGGCCAGGATCCGATATATCCCCGGTGGATGCAGATATGCTTCCAAGCATAGTTCCTGGTTACCAACCACCCTTTAGAATACTTCCTTTTGGGGTGCGACCTTCTCTAGGTCCGAAGGAGGCAACATCTTTACGAAGGCTTGCAAGGGTTCTTCCACCACATTTTGCCGTAGGTATGGACAGTTTTTTTTGTAACTCCGTAAAATTACATTGACGCTTAGTTTCATTGCGTAATACAACCTCTCTGCAGGTAGAAACCGGCAGCTCCAAGGTCTAGCTGTGGCCATGATCAACTTATGGGAAAAAAGTTTGATTGCAAAGATTGCACTCAAACGTGGTGTGCAGCTGACTACTAGTGAGAGAATGGTTGAAGAAATCAAGGTAATGGAACTTAATCAAAGTCTATGACAGTAATTTGTTTGTCAAGGTGCAACTAGCTTAGTTTGTTTCTTTCATTTTAATTACTATGCTAAAAAATGATGCAAGTAGTTTCTATCAATTTTTTTTTTTTTCTACCACGAAGGGAAGGTAAATGGTTTTTCCTCTCATAGAAAGTGATTATCAACTATTAGTATAAGGAAAAAAATGCCAATCCGTTAGATATAGTTGTTTGTGAGAATGCATGTGTTGCTAAAATTCACATCTAAGAAATGGAGTCTAAATTACCAATGTGTTGTGGCGTGGTTCATTTTTATTCAACCATTTTCTTCATTTTGTGTTGGGCAAATGTAGTAAAATGGGTTTTTTGCTGGTAAGGATCACTGTTTCTGATAAAATTATCTTAGTCTCAAGTTCTCTTGAAGAGATTTAATAAATTATTACAAAACCTTGCTTGTTGGCTGTAGAAATTGACAGGGGGCGTGCTTCTCTCTCGAAATAAGGACTTCTTAGTCTTCTACCGGGGAAAAAATTTTCTGTCTCCTGAAGTCACCAAGGCATTACTAGAAAGGGAGAGATTGGCAAAATCCCTACAAGATGAGGAGGAGCAAGCTCGTTTGAGAGCATCTGCCATAATTGTACCACGTACTGAAGTGACTGAACAACCTGGAAGTGCCGGTACGCTTGGAGAAACATTGGATGCAAATGCTAAATGGGGAAAGAGGTTGGATAATCGTCACAAGAAAGAAGTGATGCGGCAAGCAGAGATATCAAGGCATGCTAATTTGGTCAGAAAGCTTGAGAAGAAGCTTGCTTTTGTAAGTTCTTGATTTACAGGTTATATTTGAAGTATGCTCGGTAGATTTAAAATGACGAAACATTCATACTCTAACATCCTAAATCCTAATGGTCAATTTGAAACTACAATAAGAGATCTCAACATGATTTCTGGTGCCATTTATTCATGCTTGAAATTCAAATTTTGTGTCATTATAATTTGTTGGATTCATGCCTTAATATTTAACATAAGAAGTCCAAGAATATAAGGCCATGATATTTCACATTGTCATATGGCTGTGATGCTAGAACATTCATCAGTTAAATGTCTGAATTTATCTTATCCATCAGAGTGAACGAAAGCTAATGAAGGCTGAGCGAGCCTTGGCTAAGGTAGAGCAATTTTTGCAACCGGCAAATCGGCAAGCAGATCCAGAAAGCATAACCAATGAGGAGAGGTTTATGTTCCGTAAGCTTGGGTTGAGGATGAAAGCATTCTTACTTCTTGGTAAAGTAACCATTCATGCAAAATTTATTACGTGTTTTTTCTTTTTGACTATGAGCCATTCATGGGAGATTGATTTCTTAATACAGGTAGACGTGGGGTATTTGATGGTACTGTAGAAAACATGCATTTGCATTGGAAATACCGGGAGTTGATTAAGATAGTCGTCAATGCTAGAACTTTTGACCAGGTCAGAAAAGTCGCTTTAGCACTTGAAGCTGAGAGTGGAGGCGTTCTGGTTTCAGTAGACAAAATTTCCAAAAAGAAATTTGCTATAATTGTATTCCGGGGAAAGGACTATCAGCGGCCTTCCACATTGCGGCCAAAGAATCTTTTAACAAAGAGGAAGGCTTTGGCGCGCTCAATTGAGCTTCAGAGGCAGGAGGTATATATTATTATCTTTATATCTTAACTCCAAAGCTTATCTGTTTTGAATCTGAGCTCTATAGCATGTTTAATATGCCTTGGAGAGTATTCACCCCAAATTATAGCTCTTTAAAGCTGTTCAATGACCATTGAATCTCGGGCTAATGTTACTCTTGCCTAATGTTCTTGGTGGTTTGCCAATTGGCCAAGCCTCCATTTTTTAGGTCTTGATTATGTTTCTTGGTTCCTTCACAAACTTAACTATCGTTCACTGATATTTCTCATTGTCAAACAGGCTCTCCTGAAACATATTTCAGCTGTGCAAAGTAAAGTGGACAGATTCAGATCTGAACTTGTATGGACATTTTTATATCTCAATTCTCACCCAGTGTCAATACAAAATTGAGCCGTCTTTCAATTGGCGGAGTTTATTATTCGATTTATGTTTCATGTTTGACAGGAGCAAATGGCAATAGTCGAGGACCAAGGAGATGAAGCTTTATATGATAAGTTGGATTTTGATTATCCCACTTCGGACGAGGAGGATGAGGAATCAGAGGTCTGTGTTTATTTCATCTCCTAGAACTTCTCTTCGCCTGTTGGGCTTGCTGATAATGTTGCCTCATTCGTTCATTTAATCATGTTTATAGGAAGAAGGAGACGAGGCTTATCTCGAGACTTACGGAAGTGAAAGTGACGGTGAAGACGAAAGCGACGACCTAATTCGCAATCTCTACCAGGACCAGGACGAGAAGCCTCAAACAGAAACTGAAGTTCCTGAACAGCATTTACTAGAAGTAGATGGTTCTCTGAGTGGAGATGACAAAAATGAGCAAGAAGATCTCCTTTTACGCTACTGATTCCCTTGTAAAAACTAAGTTCACTAAATCACAAAAGAAATGTAATGGAAAAGTGAAAAGAAAATAAAATGAATAAAAATAAGCATCATTGATTTCTTTTCTAGTGTTTAGATATTTTTGGTTGTGTTTACTAAATTTAAGAATGCAATTAGTAAGTATTCTATTATATGGTGAGAATGACATTTATATTCCATTTGCTAAGCAAATTCCTATATTATGTGGAGTTCACTAAACTTCTTTTTTCATATATATAACAGAAGAAATTAACACATCAAAGTTATAGCATTCATGTTCATAGCTAACAAGTAAATGGTGGATTACTTGGGTGCAATTAGTAAATCCAAGCCTTGCATTTAAATTATGTAACATGTTTGTGAGAATTATCTAAATCCAAAAACTAATGAACTTTACATTAAGATAGTATAGTATAATAGTGACCAAAATATTCAACCGATATTTCACTATTTCATCAAATGTCTTTAAACTCTAGAATCCAAATTCATAATCACTTGGTAATCTTATTACTGAAATAAAGTTGGATTTGAGAAAAATAATGACAATAATATTAAAACCGCATCACTGTTATGTGCGTCGCGACGTAATCAAGAAAGACTTTTAAAACAATTACAAATATCAAGACACTCAAATGGTAGTGTTCATAATACTGGTCAACTAAAGTCTCCTTTCTTTCCTGAGCGAGAAAAAAAGATCGAGAGACAAATACCTCTTAAATTACATGTGTTTACACTTTTACTTTTTAAAACAATTACTTATATCAAGACACTCAAATGGTAGTGTCCATAATACTGGTCAACTAAAGTCTCCTTTCTTTCTTGAGCCAAAAAAAAAAAAAGTTCGAGAGACAAATATCTCTTAAATTACATGTGTTTACACTTTTACTTTTTAAAACAATTACTTATATCAAGACATTCAAATGGTAGTGTCCATAATACTGGTCAACTAAAGGCTCCTTTCTTTCCTGAGTAAAAAAAAAAAAAAATGGAGAGATAAATACCTCTTAAATTACATGTGTTTACACTTTTATTCCTTACTCTTGATTGATATCTTTTTTAATTAAAAAATTATGTTAGTCAAAAGGTATTAATTAAGAGTAAAGGGTAAAAATTCAGACACACGTATCTAAGGTAAGTTCATTAATTTTCTCAATAAAAAAAAAATAATTTTAATAGTGCCCCTGAACTTTCGAGTCATTCCTACTATGTCCCTTAAACTTTGAAGACTCACTTTGCTCCTTAAACTTAGATTTATCTCATTTAAGCCCTTATATAAGAATTTATGTTAAAATCAAACCAAAAAATGGGGTTAAGCGTGACCATATGATTTTTATCAATTTATTTTTTAAAAAAATTAAAATAAAATTACCAAATGACTGCATCACTATCTTTTTTTATATGTTTTTAATAAAAATTATAATAAAATGGGTTAAGTGAGAATAATTTAAAATTCAAAAGGACTCTTAAACGTTTTTAAAATTTGAGAGACAAACTGAAAATGACTCTAAAATATAAAAATACCAAAACTAATAATCCAAAAAAAAAAGGTCTCGTTTCTTTCTTCGAATAGAGTTTTACTCCACGTGGGATAGAGATCGACAACTTCATTCCCAACTTGTTGTCAAGAAGTCTGTCAGTTTCTTCCAAATTGAACTCCAAAACAAGAGTCGTATACATATGTACGTACATAAATACATACATACTTGTGTGTGTATGAACATATATTCCATTCTTTACTTGTTAAATATATATATATATATATATATATATATATATTACCATTGAATTTTCAAATGTCTGATAATGTATATCAATTTGTTCTAAGTCAGTCATTCCGAATGTATGTTTTTAAAAAACATAAACAACACGAGGCACGTGACTACCATGTGCAAGGGGATTTGGTTACTATCCTATTTTTGTATATAAACTATTAGTAAGAATTGATATTTTTAATCGGATTGATTTTAAATACTAGAGAATATAAGTGGCAGCAGTATCGTGTCCCATACTGTAAATTTTTTATGTAAATAATTGCATTATTAGACTATTAAAAAATTAATCAAATACTTAAAAACATTATTAAGTTCCTATCATTCCTACTACCATAAATTAAAGTTTCAAGCATCAACAAGTGGTTATTTATCACGGCATGTCTCACGTGCAGTGACACAAGACTTTATACCCAATTGCACAAGCACAAAAGGTTGAAAAAACAAAAAAACAAAAAAACAAAAAAACAAAAAAACAAAAAAAAAAACAAAACGGTAGTCGTTTGATATATGAGGTGGAAAATAAGTCCCCTTGTACTGTTGGACTTTTTCTTTGCGGTCATAAAGACTGGCGTCCAAATAATCCACGGCTACAAATTCTGAAACCTAAAACCTTTCGCACAACAACACCACCATTTTGACCCAGAATTCTCTTAGCAGGATACAAAAATAAAAATAAAAATAAAATAAACAAACGTACATTTGACCACGTGTTCAATGTTTTTTCTATGAATATCAATCCGCCTATTTAAGAGTGCCGTTGTAAACTAACGGCTATAACCGAAATTTGATTTTCCTCGGAATCTCTGAAGAAGAAGAAGAAGAAGAAGAAGGAGAAGGAGAAGGAGAAGAAGAAGAAGATGGACGTGTTTTTCCCACAAGAACAGTCCGGTAATATTTTCTGGTATTCTGAGTCTCTTCCTGAAGAGAAAATAAGTGCTTTTCTGCCATATACAAATATGCCCAGAAACGAATTTGGCCAAGAAAATGCTTGTAATTATTATAACGGTCCGTACAATATGAAAAAGAGAATGATAGAGTTCTTGAGAAGAAGTAGTAGTAGTATTACTGTTGGGAAGATAAGTGGTCAAAAGGAAGTAGAAGGGTATGAGAAGGAGACGAGTTTTAGGCACATGATGAACGAGCGAATGAGGCGGCAAAAGCAGAAAGATGGCTACTTAGCACTGTATTCTATGTTGCCAATCGGCACAAAGGTATGATTTTTTTTTATTTTAAGAAAACAAATGATGGGTTTTACTTATGAATGTCATTGATTAAGAATTTTAATCCAACATTATGGTGTTAAAACGCGAATCATTTTCCTCGTTGCTAGATGTTTACATAGTACAATTGATTTTTATGTGATCTGTATCAATATCATTGTTGCAGAATGATAAGAACTCGATTGTTAAGATCGCGGCCAGTACAATTCAGCAACTGCAGAGCTATAAGGAGAGGTTGAGGAGGCGGGAGATGGAGCTCGAAGCGATTTTGGCAGAAAATGATGAGAAGGAGATGAAGAAAAGATCCGCGATGAAGATTAAAGTGAAAGTGGCTAATCCTATATCTGGGGTTGATTCTATGGTTGAACTTATTAATTGCTTGAAAAGGTTGGGATTAAAAGCCAGGAATATCCGGTCGGTTTTCACAAAAGAGGAGCTTTCAGTTGAACTTGAGATAGAAACCAAGGTTTGTACTCTTTTTTGCCACTATATGAAATTTTCAACCAAAAAAAAAAATCCATATAAGAGGAATATGGTTAATAGTTCTTGTTCTTTTTCAGTAGATTTAATATTGCATGATTAATTGAAGCATTCTTGATGTTTAAAAGCAACTTATCATTCTTACAAAATACTTTGTAGCAATTAGTAAAGCTCAAGAGGGTGTATGTGTGTGTATTATACTATATTTATATTATTTGTATATAACAAATATAAAAGCTTTGGCTGCATTAATGATTAATATTTATCAGCTACGAGTTGCATGTAATGTCTCTATCTATTTCGATGTCAGATTCAAAAGTTTTTTGTTTTTTTTTTTTTGAAGAAAATTCAAAAGGTTCTTTTCCAACATGCATACTAGCCCTCTAAAATGGACACTTCAACTACTGGGCTGAGACCCCACATTTGGTCATCTACAACACGGTGGAGGGTAAATCTCAATCTTGTAGATAACCTAATCCAGTCTAAATAAAAAATTTGGAATAAATATGATTTGCAACAATATTTAACATAAAAGTCATCATGAGTTGTTAAGAAATAGTAATTAATTAAGAGAACAAGGACACACTCTAGAAGAAGTGTTTAATCCCAATTAAATAATATCTAAATTCCTACTAAAGGTTCTCTTTCTATTGTTGAAAGGTGGGAGCTGCTGAGATAGAAGAGGCTTTGCAGTTAACACTATATGAAGCCGAGTGGAGGCTTCGTTCTCATTTCTAGGAAGTTCAAGAAAATGAAAAGTGTCGCCATTTCACTTATTTGAAGATTTGCGAAGCAATAAGTGGCAGTGCTAGCTTGGTTCTCAAGTGCTGGGCTCACAAGTATATATTTTAGGTTTCGAATTATAACTCTCATTCATTTTATCAATTTAAGTTTTTAATTCCAAATTTGTTATAGTTAAAAGCTCTCATAAAAAGTCACATCTAACTTTTTTCTGTTACAGTGAAAAGCTCCCACATAAAATTACATCTCAGCTCGAATTGAAAAGTCGAATCCGCAAATTGAATGAGGCCGTAGTAGTTTCATTTTTTTTTCCTTTTTTGTATAGTGAAAGTTATATGTCCATCCCATTTAAAAAAGAGAAATAGTAGAAAATAGGGCACTATGAAAAGTTTAAGAAAATATATAGGCAAATTTTTAGTTATAGAAATTAATAGGCCATAACTTGTCAAGTTATGGTTCATAACCAGATAAGTTATGGACAAACTTGTCAAGTTATGGTTCATAGCCAGACAAGTTATGGACAATTATGGGAGAGCTTTGTAAAAATAACTCAATAGAAAAGTTTTATTAGTAAAATAACTTTTTAAAAATTTTTATTCGTAAAATGACCACTTTTTACAAAGAATGATTAGGTGGTCATTCTTCATAAAAAATGAAGAAGGTCATTTTACTAATTTCACTTTGTTGGATAGTACAATAACTTGTCAAGTTATGGTTCATAACTAGACATCCAGTAATTTTGCCTATTTCTTAACTTATGTAAACTATTGGCCTATTAATTTTAATTCATCTCAAGTCTTGGCCTATTTTCCTCTTTCTCCCTTTAAAAAATGGCAACTAGTCAGTATGTTTGACCGAATTTCAGGATAACACTTTGTAAATTATTGTGAATTGTTTGTGCCCCATTAGTTGGGCATATTTGTTAAGAATCTTTATGGTGGAGTAGGTTATTTTGCTCCACAAATAGAAATTATTATTTCTAACTGTTTGAATTATTTTTTAATAATTAGATATGTACATGTCTGTATTAAAAATTTACAACACGTTACGTACACAGAGCTAGTTTTGCTGCAAATCAGACCATTAAAAAACTAAATCATTCGTATCTATGGAGTAAAATAGTCTTCTCTACTGTAAATGTACTCGTATTTATTAGGAGTGATTGTAAGAAGTCTATTATTTGTAACGTATGAGATAAATGAGTCAATTAGGTTTCAATTAGTTGGAAATTTTCAACCCTATATATTTTTTTGAATTTTAGTTGACTGGTTCCGGAAACCTGAATACATGTAAGTTTTCAAGCTTGACCTAATTATTTTAATCCACGTGTTGCACGAGGAAAATATGTACGAAAGAAGAATATTAGACTCCAACTCTCCAAGTGATAACCGTCCTGGTCCATGTGAGAAAATTGGGAAGTTTCAACTTTGACGATCTAAAAACTAACGCCATCGGCAATAGCCAACCAAAATTATCAGCAACCATTTTATTGCTCATTTGGTTCTTTAGTTTAAATTGCGTTAACTTGAATTTTTTATATTTGAACAAAAAAATTTAAATAATGTAGTTTAAATGAAAAATAATTATAATCTCATAATTTTAATTTATAAACCAAACGTCTCCTGAATGATTCTGTTTGGTAATTTTAAAATTGTATTTTGTTAATTTTTTAAAAAATTATTTTGAATATAATAAAAAAATAAAATTGTATTTAATTATAATTATTAATTAATATGTTATAATATTATTAATAAGTATTAAAAAATAAAAATAAAAAAAATTTTAATTATTTTTTAATTTATTTACAAAACTTATTTTCACTGTTATTTATTTTCATTTTTAAACATAACACAATTTATAAACTATTTTCATTGTCGTGTCATAAGAGGCCTAAAAAACGTGTTCAAAAATAATCTAAGGTCCCGTTTATTTCGCTGATTCGAGTTTAAAATTTGAGTTTTATTACAGTAAAAAGTTCTCACAAACAATCACATCTAACTTTTTTGCTACAATAAAAAGCTCTCACATAAAATCACATCTAACTCGAATTAAAAATTCGAATCAACAAACTAAACTAAAATTATTTTGAGAATTAAATTAAACTAAAATTACCGCTCGTTGTCCTCCAACGGAAGCTTCATAGCAAAACCAACTATACATACGTACATATAATATATATATATATATGTGTGTGTGTGTATGAAAATATTATCTTCACTAAAACGTGTGCAGTTGAAGTTCGACTTCTAAAGTGAAATTTCTTTTCTTGGTCAAAGCTCTATCTCTCTCTCTGTGTATACATACACATAGAGACAGTTGATAAAAATGGTCCCCCAACAAATTTTGTCTTGTCTGTGAGAGAGAGTAACCCAAAAAAAAAAAAAAAAAAAAAAAAAAAAAAAAAAATCTTGTTACGAGTAGGGGTAAATTACGTTTAGTTGGAGGATTCAAACTACGATTTGAATCATAATTCATAATTCACTATAATATTTTTTTTTACAAAAAATACACATAAATTAAAAAGAATTCTAATAATATAATTCTAATTCATAAACTAATTACTCCTGTTCGATAATTTTGAAATTATATTCGGTTAATTTTCCTTTTTATTTTTAAACATAACATAATTCATAGACTATTTTTATTATTGTGTCTTAAAATGCGTGTAAAAACGTGTCAAAAAATAATCTAAACTAATTTCGAACGCACATTTTTCAAATCCCCATATCACCTCCGTGCTATCCCACAATTCAAGGAGGCCAATCTTGACTCTTCTGCGTTGCAGGGATTCTAGAAGCTTCATTTGCTTCGCCATCAACGACGATTTGAGAGAGAAGATGCAGATTAAGTTGGGTGGTGGGTCAGGGATTAGCTCTGCTGTCAAGTCCAGGTCTAGTAGTGAGACCCTTGTTTCTATATTTTTGAAGAAATTCCTATATTTGGGTGTCGAGAAATTATTTAACAGAACCCAAAAAATCATGGGTTTTCTCTTTCTAAATACAAGAAACATGGATTTCATTTGGTTACAATAGCTAATTACTTGTGTTTCTAACTTCATTGACAGAGCCCTTTGTTGTTCCTGAGCATTTCTTATGCTCAGTTCATTAGTCTTTGCGTTGTTGTGTTTGGCTTTGTTGAGCAGCTCCTTGTTTCGAGCTTTGATGAACCATAAAAGCTTCTTTACTCAGAGCAAATAAGAAGATAGACGAGAGATTTGGCAAAAAAAAAACAAAAACAAAAAAAGCGACAACTTAATACCTTATTACACTTATTTCAGCGGCAATTTTGTAATTGCACGTAATACCCTCACTCTTGTTAAGAATCCACGCCACGTGTCAATTTTGTCTATGATTTGTCGATGATCATTGGGCCCGTTTAGTTCGCTGCTTCGAGTTTTTAATTCGAGTTGAGATGTGATTTTATGTGAGAGCTTTTTACTGTAGTAAAAAAGTTAGATGTAATTATTTGTGAGAGCTTTTTACTACAGCAAAATTCAAATTCTAAACTCGAATTAGCGAAATGAACGGGGCATAGTGTTGTGATGGTTTTCTTTATGATAATACAAGTTTCTTTGTGATAATGAGGGCGCTCAAAATTGGAAAAGAAAAATCATTAGTCATCATGAACTAAACAAAAAAATGCCGTTTAAAAAATATATTTAAATTATTATTTGAGTTTTTATTCTTGTGAGAGAACTATTAGTAGAAATTTTATTATTTAAATTCTGTCTGAAAAGAAAACACTGCAAACAAAGAATTTTATTAAATACATGTACCAAACAATCCCTGAAACAATGTAGAAAAACAAAATGAAAATAAAATATATATATATATATAAACTAACACAACAAACAATGCAAACAAAGAATGCAGACCAAACCAAACACACCCAAATAAAGACCTAATAGCATCATAACAAATTAAGAGCTCGCTCATTTTACCAATTTGAATTTTTAATATCAGTTTTGTTACAGTTTAAAGCTCTCACAAATAGTCACATCTAACTTTTTTTGTTTTAGTGAAAAGCTCTCATATAAAATTACATCTCAATTCGAATTAAAAATTTAAATCTGCAAACTGAACAAGACTTAAACCACTGCACCATTCTAATATTAAATAGAAGAAACTAATTTAATAATGGTCAAATGAATTCACATTATAGGTTTGTTTTATAAGTTTAAATTACTATTCAAACCTTTTTGTTATAATATTTTTGCTTACAAAATTTATATTTATGTTGAAAATTATGAACCAAATGGCCATAATGTGATCACCACAACCTTCACGCGCCGCAACATAACGTCTCCTGATTAGAACTTTTACTAAGTAGTCATTTTCTTGCTATATTTACCATGTACCAACTCTTCTAAAAAAATGCAATACCAGCAGAGGGAGTTATGATAGAAAATCAGACTTTTGTCTTTTGATTTAGTAGGTTCTTAACTCTGTATATTATTCTGGCTGATTTAGCAATTTAAATGAAATTCCACCCATCATCTTCAAAAAGAGAAAACTATGCTTACAAAATAATTTAGTAAAAATTGTAAATAAAAATAATTAACGCATTTAAAATGGTGATAAGTATTCATTGATTTCTAAAATTAAAATATAAAGTGCAATTGTGGAAGATATTTGAATTAGAATGAGGACTTGTTTTCCTTTGGAACGGGGCAGAAAAGATTGGAGTTGATGAAGAAAGGTCAACTGAGCTGCCGTAATAATTGGGTTCACACAATCAACAGCACAGCATGAAATAAAGATAAAGATCACAAAGCTAGTTCAAATATTTCCGGATCACCAAAAATAGCATAAACTCAAAACTATAAACTTCCAAGTTTCAGTCTAAAAATGAGGTAAACAGTATTAGAACATTTTAAAGCAACAAAAAGAGAAATACAAAAACTGGATCAAAATGGAAGTCCTCGGAGCATAACATGACTAAATATCTAGACTGCAGGCATTGACTTCACTTGAGAGGAATGAACCTCGAAGAGTGGGTAGCACCAATACCGGGTCTACCGTGCTTGACAGGCTTGTATGAGATTGAGAACTCAGCAAGGTAATGACCAATCATTTCAGGCTTGATCTCAACCTGATTGAAGGTCTTACCGTTGTAGACACCAATGATGCTTCCGATCATTTCTGGTACGATGATCATGTTGCGAAGGTGAGTGCGAACTGGTTCTGGCTTCTCACCAGGTGGGGCCTCCCTTTTCTGGTTGCAACCATAGGGTATAAAAGAATGATCAAAGGTGATAACACAGTACAAAATCTAGTAGCTAAAACCACAAAACTGATGTATCCAAACAAATATGAAACGAATATGATACTAACATAAGCAGTGCCTAAATGACATAAATCCCAAAATGAACAAGGCGCCTAAATGAGATAATTCCCAAAATGACCAAGTTACCAACACGTTATTTTCAGCTACCACTGAGCAGTCAAAAGCAGTTCTACCAACTCTCAATTTTAATTTGCAGAATGATTACTTATACTGAATATTGTACTTTCAGCATTTCTAACCACAGATTTTCAATGTCCTTCAATAGTTTAAAGCATAAATACTAATATGTGCAATGGTAGGCACAAAAGCATACCCAATAAGGGTGAGATTTGTTCTTAGTTTTCAAGATCATTTAGCGGGTTAATGATCAGTCATTCTAGAAAATAGGACAATATCAGCCAATCACGACTTAAGTGTGGAAAAGAAGTCTCTAAAGTTCGGTAATCTATATGTCTCATAATGCATGTAAAATCTTTTCTATTTGATACACTTAAAACATGCAACCAAATGAGGACTTACTAGATCGTAAGAAGCCGTAGAAAGAAAAAGAAAAAAGAAATATTCTTTCCAATTAGGCAGGGCCATAAAAAAGATATGCACTTTGGATCCTCCAAAAATAACAATACCTTACGTTGACATTACCATTAATCCTATTCTCAGTTGTGTGAAATGCTAGAATTATTTCCAGTATCAAATTCATATGGATACATCTAAACACTAGCCCCCGAAATAACAACACAAAAAAAGCTTGACTTCATGAAATTATAGCCATTGATCTTATTCTCAATAGAGTGGAATGCTAAAATCATTTCCAGTATCAAATTCATATGAATACATCTAAACACCAGTCTCCAAAATAACAACACAAAGAAAAGCTTGACTTTATGAAATTATGTCGAAAATCAACCAACCATTGACATGTCTAAGTGCATTAAGTATACCCAGTATTGTTAAACTCAGCATAATCGGGCATGCAAGATTTCTAAACAAAGAAGTTTTCTCAAAAAACTCACACCAAAAAAAATTCACCTCAAATCTTGTTAATTTGGGGAAAAAAAGGGGGAAAAAAACGAAATGAGAGGTCATCCAACATCCAACCTCTGGATTAAATTAAAGGCATACTCATTCCAACCCCATTTAACCACAAGATACATATCAACAGAAACAATATGAAACAACCATTAAAAGAAAAGCAAAAAACGGAACAGAAAACTTACCGCCTTGCGCAGCTTCTTGATGAGAGCCATGGGCTTACGCTTCAAACCCCTCTGGAACCTACGCAATCACAATAAAACAACTTTCAACACTTTCAACGCCATTTTTTCATCAATCACAAGTCAAATCACGAACAATCGCAAAAGAAAGAAACTTCCGATCAAAAGCAACCAAAATTTTCAGAATTTCGATTCACCTTCTGCGAGCACGGGCAGTGAAGAGCTTGACGAGCTCATCGGTGGACATGTCGAGGAGAGCATCCAAATCGACTCCTCTGAAGCTGAACTTCTTGAACGTTCTCTTCTTCGGCACTCCGGTCACCGGCACATCGGTCTCAACGTCAGCCTGAAACGCAACCACAGAGAGAGAAAGAGAGAAACGTTAATGGCGGCAGAGAAGGACGTAAAGGAAAAGAGGAATTGAGGGGAAAATCATGAAATTGTAGATGAATTCTCACCATGGTTGAAGCTTCGGAGACTGGAAACCCTAGTTCTGAGTCGCTGGGAAGAAGATGGGGATTGCTTGCCGCTGCTAGGGTTTTTAAGAAGAAACCCTAATTATGTCGAGGAAATCTTATATATAGTGTGAGCGTTTTTGTGTGGTTGTGTTGTGTAGCCCTAAGATCTGGATTTGGTTTAGAGATGTTAATGGGCCTCGTTCTGTTTCTACTGAATGAGCGGACTGGGATATTGGGCTTTAGCCTAATTAGGATTAGGATTTGGGCTTAACTTGGCCGTCCATTGAGATGAGAAGTTGGGCAGTAGCCCATAGGCCTAATCAGCTCAGGCCCATTTGAAATAATTACGTAGAAGTATTTAGGGAGAAGGAGGGAAATTAAATCCAGATTTACTACTCAGGTCAGTTACAAAAATACCCAATTAAAATATATCAGTCAAAACATTCCAAAATTCTCTCCCTTTTTTCTTGCTCTCTCTCTTTTTTCTTGCTCTCTCTCTCACTTCTCTTTCCTGCTATCTCTCTTTTTCTCTCTTCTTCCTTCTCTCCTGCTCTCTCTCTTTGAAGATCTCATTCGTTCTCTCTCTTCAACGAGAATTGCGGCAGTGATGATCATGTCATCGGCGACGTTATCGCTAAGCGCAAATGCCAGATCTTCTCTCCTCCCCTCTTTCTCCTTGTTTCTGTCCACCCTTACCAACATTCAAATAGCATATCGGTCGATCGTCTATTAGCCATGGTGGAGACTGTCGTCGCGACATTGAAGGCTCTGTGGATCTCTGTTTACGAGCATTGCGGAGTTTTGTTCGCGAGCAACAACGTTCTCTGTTAGAGAGACAACGAAGCTTAGCTAGATTCGCAGTAGAGGAAGACGACTGTCGACCAGATGGAGCTCGGGCGACGACCATTGATGGTCTATAACTTAACAGGTTATTTCATAACTAAACAAGTTATGGTCCATAACCTGATAAGCTATAATGATAACTTGACACGTTATGATCGATAACTTGACAGTTTATAGTCTAACTTGATAGGTAATGTTCCTTAAGTAAACAAGTTACGGTCTATAACTTGATATGTTATAATCATAAATTTACACATTGTGGTCTAGCACTTGTTAGGTTATTGTCTAACTTGACAGCTTATTGCCCATAACTTGACAGGTTATGATCATAACTAGACTGGTTATCGCCCATAACGTGACGGGTTATGCGATGTAAATGACTGGATTATGACATAATCTGAAAGATCTTGAGAAAACACTTTTTGCCTGACACTGATGTTGTCTCTCTCCTCCATTCTATTTCTCCCCTGAGAATCCATGAGAGGATCCACTCTACAACGATGACGATCAGCAAATCCGGATCGACGAAGTGATCTGCGAATCTCACCCATGGGTGATCTCCTTGCAATCTGAGATTGCTTCTCCTTAGTCCAACTAGAGCACCAGAATAACGACACCACTTCGAGAGAATGATAGAGATAGGAGCTAAAGAGAATGGTGGGTTGAAAGAGAGAGAGACTAGACGGTGAACGGAGGAAAGAGAGAGAAAGAGAAAGAGGAGAGAGAAATGAGAGGTCAGAAGAAGGTTGAAAAAAAAGGAAAAACTAAGAAGAAAATTATCAGAAATGGTAGACTTGGAAAGTAAAATATTTAAAATTAAAAATGGCCTATTAATTTTTAATGACCGGTAAATGAGCTATTTACTTTCAAAGGTTTAAAAAAAAAAGGCTTATATACTATAATTTCCCAAGTATTTACACGAAATGATCATTTTTACCCTTGATGTTTAGGATATGTTTCTAATTAAACAATATTATTAATCTATCCATTTTATAATTACTGATATAATATAATTATAAATATATCCTTTTTCGTGTGGGTAGTTGTGAATTTGTATGAGTGATTTTAAAAGGTAGTTAAGTAGGTTTTTTTATAGACTTATATACAAACATTACAATTTGTAGATATTCTTTTATTCATTCATTGTAAAATAGAAATATATGTAATTAAGTCAATTACATAAAAGGGGTGAGCACAGTTCGCTCAAATCGGCTTTCAGCACTATCAGCCAACTTAATTGATGATTCGATTTTACAGAGTGAATAACTGTGACCGAATTGAAAGAGAAAGATGACCGACCAACAACCATTCAAAAGTAGCTTTGGTTACAGTTTTAATCGTTGGTGCACCCATTTAAGAAGAAGATGAAGAAAATATGAAAGAAACAAAAGAAAACATAATAATAGGGCATATGTAGTACTGTGTATGCCATTGTTATTTATTTTGGTACTTTTTTTTTTTTTGTATTTGTGAGTTGATTTAGTATGATAATTATTGGGAATAGTGTCCTAGAAGCATGAGATGTAAAATTATATTTATTATTTATTTAATAAAAGAGTTTATTCATCATTTTATGTGCATATATTTATGAATATTTTATGAATATCAAATAAAATTCCTTGATTATTTATGTAACCTTAAACATGGTATATAAGTGTTGTATACGAGAGGATAATGTTTAAGGATAATAATCAAAAGTAATTGTTCATAATGAATTTAATTAAAGTTTGAAATCTTTAATTAAAACACTATTAATACATGTCATTCCCATTTAGAATGGAACAGTGTTATCCGCACTGTTAATATGGCGAGATATTGAATGAGTGTATTTCGCATAATGAGATTATGTGGAACATGGACGCAGACACAATATGAATTTCTAATAATTTCCGTTAAGCATAGAAATTCTAATTGAGTCTATCGATGGTCATATATAGGATGATCTTAATCCTGAGTTCTTAACAAACTCCTATTTATGGATTTATGTCTTTTGATTTACTCGGTACGGATTCCGAGACCCTGAATCCTATTCCTTGTATTTTAGAGACATAATGAAATAGGTAGCTGGGAATGTTATTATACGAGATGGAATCCATTCCTTCTTGAGAAAGAAGCAGATAAATAATTCTCTTGAGTGTTGATTCGGTACTTGGATTAGTAAGAGCGCTCTGGTTCATGAATGTGTTTTATGAATCACTATCCATTAGAGAATCAATGGTACTCAAGGATAAAGATGTAATTAGAGAGGTTAACGGATTCTACCTGACTCTAATTATGAATTATTTATGGAGGATTGATCTATATGTAATGACTATATCAAAT